GTGACAGGCAAAGTGACAGTGGCCTGTGGCCAACCCCATGCTCGTGGTGTGGAGGATCTGGGGGAGCAAGCTGGGGGTCAGCGCGAGGCAGGACCCACGGACGGCGAGCCTCTGTGCAAGGGGGCCAGAAAGGACCGTGCCAGCAGTGGCATCCAAAAGCAGCAACGGTGGCAAAACGTGAACCACGTGTAGAGGAGCAAGCATGGACGCGACCCCCAGTCCCTCATCCACAGGACAAGCCTGTCGCAGAGACCTCAAGTACTGCAGAGATGGTGCCCGGGGCCCAGGACTGCAAGGCGCTGCATCAGGCAGCTTCGCTCCCCCACACAGATGGGCTAAACTTACGGCATCCAGAATGCGGCTGGCGCAGTGACTGCCGTAAATATTCTCCCTCTGACTTCAGCACAGCACTCTCAGGCTCTAGCTCAGTCTTGCTTGGCCAGAGTTCACAGGGGTCTCCTGTGGGCGCCCAGGATATTCCACAAAGGCTCTGGTGGAAACCGTGGCAATGGGCGCAGCAGCACAGATGAGGGGCCAACCAGCAGGATGAGGCCCTGGGAGGGAAGCAGGGTGGGAAGGCTGGGACAGAAAGTGCTGGAAGGAGGGAGCATCCCATAGGTATGTGCTATGGCCTGCAACCGCCCTCCACGCCACAGCAGGGAGCAGCAAGCAGGTAAGTCGGGTGGGAGAGAAGGAAGAATCCTAAGTTTCTCATAAATATTTCACTGCACAGGGGCCTTGCACCTTGGGCTCCCAGGTGCTGCAGGGAAAAGTTCACTGCACACCAGAGTGGGCTAGAAGACAAATCTGTTATCTTGTACACCACCACCAACTTTAACACTATGCATTTAATTTTAACTGAACTATAATAAGTATAATATAATGAAATTGGTCACTATGACCAATGACGAGTTGACTCACGCCAGCAGCAGTGCCATACAAGTGGAGGGCTCAGCTGGTGCTCAGAGGATCCCGTGAGGTGGGGATCACACCTGGGATCCCACAGCAAGAAAGCACCATGGCCCTGAGCAGTCCTCAGCCCATCTGAGTGACCGAGTAACCACTGGCCAATGTGGGTCTGGGTTTCCTGAGTACACACTGTCTGGTCATCTTAGTCTGCACAGAATACTGAGAACATCCAAGGGAGAAAAGCTTTGGTGAGTCCAGTAGAAGATGGGAAGATGGTTCGGGGCTGGCCAGCACATGCCCTGCAAGTGCCCAGGGGTTGTGTCCCTGGGAAGGCAAAGGGAGGGGAGGGAAGGGAAGGGGAGGGGAAGGGAAGGGAGGGGAAGGGAAGGGAAGGGAAGGGAAGGGAAGGGAAGGGAAGGGAAGGGAAGGGAAGGGAAGGGAAGGGAAGGGAAGGGGGAGGGAAGGGAAGGAGGGGGAGGGGAGGGGAGGGGAAGGGAAGGGAGGGGAGGGGAGGGGAGGGGAGGAGAGGGGAGAGGGGAAGAGGGGGAGAGGGGAAGGGGAGAGGGGAAAGAAGGGGAGAGGGGAGAGAAGGGAAGGGGAGGGGAGGGAAGGGAGAGAAGGGGAGGGGAGGGGAGGGAAGGGAGAGAAGGGGAGGGGAGGGGAGGGGAGGGGATAGGGAAGGGGAGGGAAGGAGGCTACATCCAGTGGAGGCGACTCCCTGGGATGCTGTGGGTTCTGGGAAGGGGGCTCTAAAATGGAAAGGGGTTCTAACATGCAGAGCTCGTGGAACCTCTCAGGATGACTGCAGCATGCGGGCAGCAGTACAGACTGGCTCCAGTCGGGTGGGGGGGATGCCACTCTTCAGGGGTGCCTGGGACCTGCAGACAGTGTCCTCTCCTAGGAGATTCAGCATCTTCTCCCCCCAAGTCACTATCAGGAAAATGACACTCAGTCCCAGGCAATGTCAAGAAACTCCTCGGCATCCCAACACCATGAGCACGTCCCCCGCCCAGGCCTCCACTGCCTGCTGACACCCAACACCTGATTTCCAGGACTCACATGGTCCCAGGCTGGCCAGCAGGGCATGGCTCTTGGGGCAGGGTGGGGGGTGGGGGGGTGGGGGGGGTGGGGACCACACCCTGAGCTCTGAGATGGAGATGAGGAGAGGAAAGCCAGTTGGGGAGTGGTCAGGTGCTGGTCATGCACATGGCCCTCAGCTTCCCCCTCTGGGTGCAGTGCCTGTGGACTCAGGTCCTTGGCTTCCCTCTGCGTGCAGTGCCCACATAATGGGGCCCTCAACTTCCTTCCCTCTCTGGGTACACTGCCCATGTACTTGGGCCCTTGGGTTCCCCCTCTGGGTGCAGTGCCCAGACACTGGAGTCCTCAGCTTCCCCTCTGGGTGCAGTGCCCACACACTCAGGTCCTCAACCTCCCCTCTGGGTGCAGTGTCCGCATACTGGGACCCTTGGCTTCCTCTCTGGGTGCAGTGCCCACACGCTGGGGCCCCCTCTGAGTACAGTGCCCGCACACTGGGGTCCTCAACTTCCCCCTTTGGGTGCAGTGCCCACACACTCGGCCCTCGGCTTCCCCTCTGGGTACAGTGCCCACACAATGGGGCCCTCAGCTTCCTCTCTGGGTTCAGTGCCCACACACTGGGGCCCTCGGCTTCCCCTCTGGAAGCTGGGCCGTGCACTCAGCCCTCAGCTTCCATCTCTCATCATGCCCTGGAACCTGGTGAGGGAGCCAGTTGCTCCAGATTGCCTGTCTGATTCAGAGCCCCCGGACAGACCATGCCTGTCTGCCATCTAAGTCAGCACTTAGCACCCCATGCCTGCCACACACTCCCTGTCGGCTCCTCTCTGGAAGGGCCAGCATGATCTTCCTTGTATCTGAAGATGCCAGAAGAAAGGCCTGGCCATGGAAGGTGAGCAGGAGCGCTCTCAGAGTGGGTGAAGGGAGAAGAGAGGAGCCCCTGACGGAGAGAGGGACCAGGAGGAACAGGGTCACCCACGATTCCCTGGACACAGCCCTAGCATATACACCCCTCTTCCCCTGAGGCCAACACAGCCACTGGGGAGAGCAGGAACCAGGGGCCTCAGCTGGCTCTGCTCTGCCTGGAACACACAACCTGTGGCTCGGGCTTTCCTTCCAGCAACATGGGGCTGGGAGCCTGGGAGAGGCCATCCCGCCCATCAGGAGCGTCACTAGCCAGCACCGGCCTGACAGAGAGAGCTCAGGGAGACAAACTCTCTTTCAGGGCTCTCAGCGAACCACAGGTGCCACTGAAGAAGCATCTGCACACACCCTAGTTCTGACACAATGTCCATTCCCAATCAGGCGGGCTTGCACTAAGCATCCCTGCATCTGGCAGACATATACACATACATCCCTGGTGCTATCACACACACCCTGGATCACAAGTATGCATTATTGCTGAGCCAATTGATTTTATTTTCTGACTTCTTAAGCAAGAGGGAAAAAAAAATTTTTTTTTCATGGACTTTCCTTCCAGAACACTCTGCCCTGGGCTCCCAGCTGGCAAACATTCTCCTGGAACTGCAGGAAACTGAGCGCGGGTCTGATAAATTGGTGCGATCACGACCGAGGGCTTTGCACCTTCCAACACTCTGAGGCTAGAGAGAAAAGGCTCTTCAGTCCCTTTCTGACATGCAAACTGAAATCCTTGGCTCTCTGAGCGTGGAACGCCCTCACACGTGTGCAACAGAAACAAAGGACGGGAGAACTGATTTTTAGCAGGAAACTTGCCACTGGCTTGTAGGGGCAGCAAGGGGAGGAGGCCACTCAGTGGGGGGGAGGGGTGCTGAAAAGGGGTAAAACTGTGAAACCCTACAAGTAACGGTATTGAAAACACTGTGCTTATTTTAAGGGGAAATTTTAAGGTTCCTGACATAGAGGGCAGGAGGGTGTGGGAGGGTGGAAGAGAAACTGGGAACACTGGTAGTGAGAAGAGCTGGGGATGGGGTTGGTGTTGAAATACTGTATGCCTGAAACTCAATCATGAATAGCTTTATAAATCAAGGTGCCTCAATTGCGGGGGAGGGGGGGGGCGGAGAGCCACTAAGTACAATCACTGTTTTATGCCTTCTGGGTAAAAGTTTATTGATCAAACTTTTCCCCGAGCAGATAAACATCACACTTCAGATGATTCTAATAGCGAATAATCTACCTCTGGGGCCTATTCTAGGTCTCCGAGACATCTGGGTGCTCCAGAGTCCAGCAGTTCCAGCCTCCCTGCCCCCGCGGGGGCGTTAGGACTGTCCCTATCAAGCCCACGTTCCGGACGCCGTGTGTATAATTTTAATAAACGAAGCGACTTCACACAGAGGAACAGAACAGAGTTAGCCCACGGTGGAAGAGGCCGTGCCTCAGCTTGGAAAGCATCCCGGGTTCGCCACGCTGTCCCGGGGTAGCTTTGGGGCGACTCTTACCATGCGCCCAGGGGCCGGGCCGGGGTGTCTGTCGCCAGCCGGGTCCTGGACAGCCCGGCAGGCGCGCACCAGGAAAGGGACCCTAGAAGCAGGGGCCGCACAGGGGTCCCGGGCTGTCCGCGCGGTCAGTGCGGTCCGCAGTCGCCAAGTTCCCGGCGCAGCGCAGGGGGGCTGGGGACAGACGCCGCGTCCCCGCGGGCACGGGGCGCGATTGAGATGCAGGCAGGGGCGCGCCCGGGCAGAGAGAACTTAGTGGGCGTCGCGGGGCGGGCACCCAGCTGGGCACCCGGCGGGGCAGGGGCGCGGCGCGGGCGGGCGCGAGTCCCGGGTGGACACTGCGCCCCGGCGCTCAACAGACAATGCGGCCGGCGGCGTCCCGCGGGGGTCGCGCGCGGGGTCTGGGGGCGCCGAGGCAGCGGCGAGGCCCGGGGCGCCTCCCTTCGCCCCCACATCTTTGTTCTCCCCAGTCCGCGCTCCTGTCCATCCCCGCCCCCCCCTCCCATCCCCAGGGACAGGGGGCAGGACGCGGCCCTGCCGCGTGCCCCCGCGCTCCCGACGGCTACGGGGTACCCCCCACGCTCCCGGGACCCCACAGGTCAGGGGACCCCCGCGCGCCCGGGACTCCGCGCCCGCCGCCCTTACCTGTCGCAGGGTCGCGGGGGGCCGCTCGCCGCCCGGGCTCCAGCCGCTGCGCGCGCTGGCCGTGCGCCCCGCGCCTCCGCCCGCGCCCGCCCCGCGCGCCGCGCCCCTCCCCTGCGCCCGCGCCGCCTCCCCGGCTCTCACGCGCGCCCCGGAGCGCGCCGCGCCCCGCGCCCCCGCCAACTTTTCCCTGCTGGGGCTGGGGGCACGGGGCTGCGGGAGGGGGCTGGAGGGGGGCGGGGGGAGGAGGGGACAGGGGAGAGGGAGGAGGAAGGCAGGAGGAGGAGGAAGGGGCGAGAAGGGGAGGAGGGGGAGCAGGAAGGGGAGGAAGAGAATGGAGGAGGGGACGGGAGGGAGAGGGGAGGGAAAGAGGGGCAGGAGGAGGGGGCGGGAGGGGCCGAGGTGACCAGGCACGCATGGGTGTGCCCTGTCCCTGTCTCTGCATCCCTCTCGGGCTGTCTGGCCAGAACAAAGACCAGCTGGGTAAAGTGCCACTTGTCACCAGCTGAGCGGGTGACCCTTGCTAAGCCTCAGTGAGTCCAGCCTTCCTTCCCTCCAGCAGCCGGGCTGCGGAGACCCTAATTCTGCTTGGCCAGGACTTGGGCAGCGGCTTGAGGCAGCTTTCCCGGGAAACGCACATGACGAAGTAGTAGCGGGCGCCCCCAGCTGCTACACCCCTGATTCATGAGCCCAGCGTGTCCACTGTCTACTATTACTACAAGGCAACATGTTTCCTGCCAGTATCAAGCACGATACAATGTAGACGGGACCATATGCATGCGTGTACAGCATAGCCTCAGACACACCTTCTGCCTCCAAACTGCAAGTCAGTTCATATATTGGTGATTGCCGCTATCTGAATAAATCCTAGGACGCATGGGGAATCCAAAAGTAGAGACTAGAGTTCCCTGCATGGAACGAATATAAATTTCACATTTGAATATCCTTGCAAATTCTAAAATGGATGAATGATTCTGATGTATGGCTCAATTCTCAGTCACGTTGGCCTTCTGTGTGCTGAGATAAACTTGGTGAATTTTCAGAATGGATTGGGTAAATTCCTGAAGCGCATTCCTGCTGTAGACCTTGGGGGGCTGCCTTCTGTGGGCAGAGACGGGAGCAGGGTCCTGGGTGAGTTCGTCCTGAACAAGACAATGTTCAGCATCCTTTCATTCAGCCTGGCACTTCAGCCACGGTGCTTACAGTAATCAAGACTAGTGAGAATAACTGAATTAGAAGTGAAATAAATATTTCAGCACCTAATTCTTTCCTTGGCACCAGAAATAGGAATGTGTTGTAGAGATTACTCATCACTGCGTATTGTGTTGCTTAGTAAGTGAGATCGTTCCGTTTCCCTCAGGGCTGTAAGCTGTTTAGCAAAAGATCTTGCACAAATTTATCTTACCCAAAGATGGGTTTGACAGCCAAAACCCAGACAAAGCAGCTACATCAAGACAAAGGCACCCATGAAAACACCTGTGTGTGAGACTGGAGAAATAGTACAGTGGGCAAGGCACTTGCCTTGCACACAGCTGACCCAGGTTTGATGCCTGATATCACATGTGGTCCTCTGAGCATGACCAGAAGTAATTTCTGTGTGCAGAGCCAGGAGTAAACTCTGAGCACTGCTGGGTGTGAACTCCCAAAAAAGAAAGCAAGGTTGAGTGAAAGAAAGTACAAAAGAAGGAGGGAGGGAGGGAGGGAGGGAAGGAGGAGGAGAAAGGAAGGAAGGAAGGAAGGAAGGAAGGAAGGAAGGAAGGGAGGGAGGGAGGGAGGGAGGGAGGGAGGAAGGAAGGGAGGGAGGAAGGGAGGGAGTGAGGAAGGAAGCACCAGTGTGGGGTGCACAGAACCATTGATGCTTTGTAACCCTCACGGCTTCCACCACCCAGAGAGAGGTTGTGTAGCTGATAAATGTTTAGATCGAACAAAGATCCTCATTGTAAGCTGTAGAGTAGCTGCTTTAAGTTAAAAAAAAAATTCAAAGAAAAAATATGTGAAGAAAGAAGCCTATAAATCCTCCAGGCCTTGTATCCGATCTCATTCTGCAGTGCTCCGTTCTCACCGGCTTTGATAAGGCTTTTAAAAATGATTATGCTGCCCGAGCATATGGGCAATATATTACTGAGACTTGTCAATACTGGCTCAGAACCCAAAAGCTATTTTTCTCTTTGGAGTGAAGTACAAATGCCCGCAGCCATTGCGTCTCGATGCTGACAAGGAGAGCTCGAGTCAGGAACCCGCTTCCTTTCCCAGCCCAGAAGTGGGACCTCGGCAGCTTTGGAGAAGCCAGGAGGCTCTTGGTCGACAGTGAAGGAGCCACCTTCATGGAACCTTCTACAACCGGGCGGCTTGATGTCCTGGATAAAAGGTATTGGTTGTCACTTTTCAAAATATCAATTCTTCTGAAAGTCAGAGGAGTGAATTCCTTATATTTCATTATTATCCTCAAGCCCTGCTACATCGCTTCCAGACCTTTCTGAAGTGCACAACACATCTGGACAAGAGAAGAAAGGCACCTATGACCCCTGACTGATTCGAGCAGTGGGTCATAGTTATTGGGGCAAAAGAGATGGACAGTCGGGGCTGGAGCAATAGCATAGCGGGTAGGGCGTTTGCCTTGCATGTGGCAGACCCAGGTTCTATTCCCAGCATCCCATATGGTCCCCCGAGCACTGCCAGGAGAGATTTCTGAGTGCATGGACTAGGAGTAACTTGTGCGCATTGCTGGGTGTGACCCAAAAAAAAGAAAAAAAAGAGATGGACAGTCACCCCCAAGCCCCGTTGCTTCCAGAGTACAGTCTTTGGGGTGTAACAAAAAGTGCAGTTGCATTATTGTGAAGCCCATCCAACTTTTCACTGCTCAGTGCAGGGCCCTGCTTCCCTCTGTAGGAAAGTCTACCTGCGCTTCACTTCCTTACCGCAAGCCAGGACCTTGGGAGGAGGAGTTGGGGTCTTCAGAGCTGACTGGTCTCCTGGGTGAAGCCATGGATGGGGTCAGTATCTCCAGGTGCTGAGAGCACTGAGAAATCCTGGATCCAAGGCTGAGCCTGATTCCTCGTGGCCCACCCAGGGACTCTCCTTTCTGTGCTCGGGGGCTGGTGTTGGAACCCTCAGCTGTAGCTGATAGTTTTTGTTTCCTCTGGCCTTTCGTCTATTTTTACTTCATGTGCTTAGAATTTGTTTTCCAGAGACAATGTCAGGAATTGCTTCAAAGCCCCCAGGAACTGATCCTCTTGGTGTCTGGTTTGGTTGAGTTTTTACGGCTCTTCCTCTCCTGGTTTTCCTTCCCAGGAAATGCCTGATCCAGGCCTGCTGCCTCCTCTCTGATTCTCTTTAGATCATTGCCCGTATACTCTCTCGGCCCAGATTTTTTTTTTCCATTTTAAACTGTGATTCCAGGGACTGGAGTGATAACACAGCGGGTAGGGCATTTGCCTTGCACAAAGCCAACCCGGGTTCGATTCCCAGAATCCCATATGGTCCCCCAAGCACCGCCAGGAGTAATTCCTGAGTGCAGAGCCAGGAGTAACGCCTGAACATTGCCGGGTGTGACCCAAAAAGAAAGAAAGAAACTGTGATTCTATACTCATAGTGATATTCTTCTATGAAACATAAGTACACCTCACTTAATCACTTAATCACTTAAGTTCCCATTAGTCGTCGATTTGCTCGAGCAGGCGCCAGTAACGTCTCCATTTGTCCCTGTCGCGTGCTAGTGTAGCCCAATGGCATCTGTTCGCTCCGGGAACATGAAGGGCCTCAAACCGATCGTTCATAATCTTGACGAAGAATTCTGACCATCTGGTAGGTGGGTGGCCACGCGGTCTTTTGACATCCCGTGGAATCCAGTCAGTAACAGCTCTAGTCCAATGGTCATCTTTAAATCTCATTACGTGACCAGCCCATCTGATTTTCGACACCTTGGCAAATGAGACAGCGTCCCTGATCCTTGCTCGTCGACGGATGTCAGAACTCCGGATTCTTTCTCTCATTTGAGTGAAACGTGATATTCCAAGCATAGCTCTTTCTATTCTTCTTTGGGAGACCTGAATAGCGTTCTCATCTTGTTTGCGTAGGGCCCAGGTCTCTGAGGCATATGTTAATGCAGGAAGAACAGTGGAATCAAAGAGATGTGCCCGGAGCCGGAGGTTCTTCGTCCTCTTAGCTATTTCTTCCACGTTCTTGAAGGCGTTCCAAGCCGCTCTCTTCCTCCTGCGCAGCTCGGGTGCCAGGTCATTTGTCATGTTGACCTCTCGACCTAGGTACACATAGCTGTTGCATTCGGAGATGGTCGTTCCATTGAGAGCGAATGGGGCATCAGGAACAAGGCTGTTTCTCATAAACATTGTCTTCGTAAGATTCAGCTGTAGTCCTACCTTTCCACACTCACGGTCAAAGTCAGCTAGCATTTGTGCCACTTGGCTGATGTTTGGTGTTATTAAAACAATGTCATCAGCAAAGCAGAGGTGGTGTAGTTGCCGACCAACTATCTTCACTCCCATTCCTTCCCATTCCAGTCGTCGCATGATGTTCTCGAGGGTGGCACTGAAGAGTTTCGGTGAAATGGTATCACCCTGCCGCACCCCTCTCTTGACATCAACGATCACTTCTTTGTAGAATGGTGAGATCCTGGTAGTGAATCCGCAATACAGCTCATGGAGGATCCTGATGTATTGGGCTTGAATGCCCTGATTGGCTAGGGTTTCAATGACCGCTTCCATCTCAACAGAACCAAAGGCCTTCTTTAAATCAATGAACGTTAAACAGAGCGGCATCTTGAACTCCGGAGAAACCTCAATGAGCTTGGTTATTGTGTGGATATGGTTGATGGTGCAGAATCCTTTGCGGAACCCTGCTTGCTCGCATGGTTGTCCTTCATCTAGTGTTCTGCCAATCCTATTTAGGATGACTCGAGTGAACAACTTGTAGATGACAGACAATAGGCAGATCAGGCGATAGTTGCCAATGTCATGGATGTCTCCCTTCTTGAACAGTAGTACGGTCCTGCTGGTTTTCCATTGGGACGGAACCTTGCATTCAGTCAGGTAGCGAGTGAAGAGCCAAGCCAGTGTATTGATGAGTACT